CCATTGAGGAGCCATATGCTGAAGCCTGATGTCTTTGGGGCTTCGATCGGAACCAGCCAAACAACCTTGGGTCCTCTCCTGAGTCAGGGAGTGTGGATGAGGGAAGGCTAGCTATCCTGACATTAGAGAAAAGACAGAGACAACTGGTCATAACAGGAGGGCAGACAGTTAATACTGAAAACCCCAGTTTATTGATCCATCATCTTAAGTAACTATCCAAAGGTGGGGGCAATGGCAGAAGACATCTATTATCATGTATAAAGGGTAGATAGCAATTATTTCCCTTTATCCAAAAGGCACTCCTAAACTGCACAAACTAAGGCCTTCAGGCACTGCATGCCAGCACATCTCACTAGCTTTCAGGATGGGTATCAAACCTCCCTGGAGAAGTTTACTGTTATTTAGATAGGAGCCATTCTCCACTGAGGCCAGGACATCCTGCAACTATTAGCTGACATCTTAAAAACAATAGAAATAGAGGCTCTGCTGAACTTGTGGCAGGGTAGAATAGATTTCCAAATATAAGGCCTCAGACAACTTATAAAAGGAATGAACAAATTCTACTAGGATTTTAGCTTTCTAAATTTTTATATAAAAATATTTTTAAATGAATATCCTAAGATCATACAGCAGTTTTGATTTCCCCTATTAAATATGACTTCTACTTATAAAGATCATATTACATGTTTTGTTTTGACTTCCAGATTTTATTCGGAATAGCATAAAAATATTTCATAAAGTTAAATCATTATAGTTAATGCTTAATTCATTGAAATCATTTTAACGAGAAAACTGATGACTCATGTCTGATTCTAGTCAACAGGGTAATACAAGTCTCATAAAGTTTGGAAGTATTTATTTACTTATATTTTTATTTTTCTGTAATATATTAGATCCCAACTCCAGTTTCTGCTCCCTTCTCTCCTACAGCCCACCTCCCAATAATTCACTCTGCCCTTTCCCTTCAGAAAAGGGCAGACTTCCGGGTGATATCAAACAAACATGGCATATCACGTTTCAGTAAGACTATACTCACCCCCCACCCCCACCCCCACACCTCATATTAAGATTGGACAAGCTATCCTAATATGAGGAACATGGTCCGAAAACCTGGTAAAAGAGACAGAGACAGCTCCTGCTCCCTCTGTTAGGAGTCGCACAAGAACATCTTGCTGCATAACCATTAACATATGTGCAGAGGACCTGTCAGACTCATGCAGACTCTCTGATGTCGGTTCAGTCTCTGTGAGAATTGTGAGCCCTGGTTAGTTGCTTTGTAGGTCTTTTTGGGGTGTCCTTGACCCTTCTGGCTATGTCCTTCCTTTATTCTGCAGGATTCCACGAACACCTTCTCATGCTTACCTGGTGGGTCTGTGCATCTGCTTCCTTCAGTTGCTTCCTTTAGAAACATCTCTGAGGATGATTGTGCTAAGCTCTGGTGTACACGTATAGCAGAGTATCATTATTAATCATTTCATTGACTTATTTATTTGTTGTTTGTTTTTGTTTAATCGTGTTTGGTCATATTCTCAGGTCTGTGGGCTATTTAGGCTCTGATTCTTGGCCCTCTGAGAAGTGTCAAGGGTGGACTCTCTCTTGTGGCATGGGTCTCAACGTAGACCAGTTCATTGGTTGGCCTCTCCTAGAAGTTCTGTACTACCTTTAGCCTAGCACATTCTATAGGAAAGACAAAATGTAGGTCGCAGGCTTTGTAGCTGGGCTGGTTTCCCAATCTCTACATTGGAAACCTTGGCTAGTTACAGGCAAGTATCCCTATTCGCATTACTAGGACTTTAGGGGAGTTTCCATTGCATTGGGTTTCTACCTTGTCACTGAAATGCCCCCAATTCTGGTCGTGTCTCTAAGCACTTGCTCCTTCCATCTCCCTATCCCTTCCTGTTCCCATCCCCACCCCCCCCCACCACGGACCTTCAGAATCGATTCTATTTCTCCTTCTCAGGGAATCCATGCTCCCAACTTGAACCCTCCTTGCTCCTTAGTGTCTCTGGGTCTGTGGACTGTAACATGGTTATCCTTTACTTTACAGCTAATTTCCACTTATAAGTGAGTACATACCATGTTTGTTTTTCTGGGTCTGGGATGGAGAGACGGCTCAGTCATTAAAGGCTAGGCTCACAACCAAAAATATAAGAGTTTGGAAGTACATGTATTTTTACATCTTAGAAATATTTGTGGATATTTGTCACTAATCATTCTTTGAATACTAGCAGACTACATCTATAAAGGCATAGGCTACTAGGCTATTCAATTGGATTTTTTTATTGGAATTCATTTATTTGTCCATGTTTTCAACTTCATCTTGATTCACATGTTGTGAGGGTGTATCTCTTTCCTCCAATTATGCATTCTGTTGCATAGAATTGTTCATAATAGCTCATTATAATCCTTTGTGGCTTCCAAGACCTCTGTGCTAATTATTATTTTTTTTGGATCTTCTTTATTGTTTAGATTAGGAGACTTTTGACTTGTTTTTTTTTTCAAAGAAACTTTGTTGACTTGTTTTTTTATATTATTTGTTTGTTCTGATTATTTCCTTCCTTATAATTTTTGTATTTGTTTGTTCTTATTTTCCTTAGTCATTGAGAAGTAAATTTTTTTGCTTTTCAGCTTTTTGTTCTTCATTTTTAATGTTGACTAGCTGTATAAAATTCCCCTATTGTGCTCTTTCTTTGAATCCTATCAGGTCTGATTTATTATATTTTGATTTTCATTTTTCTCAAGACATGTTTAAAATCCATTTTTGATTTCCTGTTTGGCTCAGTCATTGTTGAAGAGAGTTTTCTTTAGTTTCTATGGGTTTGTGGATTTACCAGAGTACTTCTTGTTCTTGGTTATTTCACATTTCATTACACCCTGTTCAGGAAGACAATGCAAAACACTGGTCTGTATCTTTGAAGAGTACTGGTAAAATGATCCTTGAAAATGATCAGAAGATTCCAGAAGAGTCTGGATTTTCAGCACATATTGGAAACCTGAAGCTGAGCCCTAATTCATCAGTGCCCAGCATGGGACAGGTGAACATGCCCATCAGAGTAATTAATGGCAAGGAGGCAAAAGCAGAGCTTCCTGCCAGCTTTTATCTGGGCTGCTCACATTTTAGAGTGGCTCTTCTAGTTCAAATAATGTGACCAAGAAAATCCCTCACAGGAATTCCATAATTTGCATTTAGTTGATTCCAGAACTCATATAATTCTTGCATATAGTTTCCTCACTGTATTTTCTTATTCCAAATCCCTTCTTTTACTTATTATTAATACATTTAGCACCAATATTTTTTAAAGTCCTAGTTAATACTTCCAATATCAGTGCTAGTAAGTTTTTGCCAACACAAACTCAGACATATTTGGGAACATGGAATATTGGTTGAAAAACTGTCTCCGTAAGGTTGGTCTGTAGGAAAGTCTTGATTGATTGATATGGATGAACCCAGATCATTGTGGATAATGTCACTGCTGGGCAGGTGGCCCTGGGTTGTATAAGAAAGCAGGTTAAGCAAACCCTGAGGAGCAAGCCAGTAAGAAATGTTCCTCCTTGGATTCTGTTGCATTTCCTGTTTCTTTTATTTTTTTATTTAAATTAAAAACAAGCTTGTTTTACATGCCAATCCCAGTTCCTTCTCTGTCCCCTCCTCCCCTGCCTTGACTTCTCTCTATGATGGACTGTTAGTCTGAGAATTATAAGCTATAATAAATACTTTCTTTTCCAAGTTGTTCTTGGTCATGGTATTTATCAAAATGAAAGAAGCCTATCCAGGGCAGGATCTTAGTTTCTTTCTAACTTTACCAGTGATAAAAATAAAAGTTCAGAAAGAACACTTCATAGGTGATGAAACTGCATGAACTGCTAAGACATGAACTATCTGAATGTGCCTTAGATAATGTACTGCCTGGTTCATAATTGTGTTGTGTAACTCATATTGGCTTTGACATCTACTTTATAATCATATTAATGATATGAATCCTAAAATCTAACAGGAAAAGTCCATATTTAGTGCTAGCAGGTATTTTGGGTTGATTGGTTTATTAACTAAAATTTAGTCACTTGCTGTCACAGCATACAGATAATAATTAAGTTTAAAATCTTACTGAAGTTTCCATAGAAAACACTTATTATACCAAGAAGTTGAATCATTGATACTTATGGTATATATAGCAAATGGCTATAAAGATACCTCAAATTAATTTTCAAGTTTACAATAAAGAAATGATAACTTCTTTAAGAGACAAACAGTTGTATTCTAATTGAAGCACTATACTTAATATGAATACACATATCTGCAGGTGTATGTATTGACCAGTATGGTACTGCATTATATAAATTTTTATATAATTTAATGTTTCTATGTGCTAATTAAAATCAGTCCCAAATGGAACATATACAGAACTGCTGCACCTAAGTCTCAATGAATACTGTGAGCCTTTGTCCCCTGGTAATTTCAGAAGTTACATCAACATGACTGCCTAAACATAGCTCAATGGGGACAACAACAATAGACATTTTAACTTGAAAGGGCGAAAGAATTCAAGACCTCAACCCTTCACAAAGAACTACCTCCAATGATGGAATGCTGAGAGCAGAAGACATAGACTTCCCCAGGAAAGAGCACACCAATTGGTTATTCAATGTCAAGTGGTCAGCCTTGAAATTATGTATATAAGTAACATTATACAGAAAGGACAGATTATAATATGTAGACATATATATGCATGTAACAACAATTAATAAGTCCATGAAATTGAAAGATAGTAAGGGGGAGTATATGGGAGGGCTCGGAGGCAGAAATGCGGAGGGGAAATAATGTGACTATAATCTAAAAAAATAAATAATGGAAAATAATTTTATTAAACTGCAAACTTTTACTATACCTTTAACTAAAGTACATATTTTAAGTTGAATTATTATAATAATTGGACAGTATGTTCTACTTTAAATATCATTTTATTTTATAGGGAATCACAATTTTATCAAGTGGAGAAGCTTTAGTGCTTATCCTGGTGAGGTGGTGAGGACGACTTCGGCATACTACTGCTAGATCGGGAGAACACCTTTGACAGAGTTGAAGATACCTTCGCCAGCACTTTAGACCCTTGCTTGGAAATAGTGTTCTTGCATATTTCTGTGGGGGAAAAGATAATATTAATAAACTGAGAGATAACTGAACTAGTTACATTACAGCAATGATTTAGAATTCACAAGTTGGCATTTGTAAACTAATCTGTGGAAGCTAAAGCAGAATTACGGTGTCTTCACTCAACTTGTTATATTTCCCCCAAGGAATGATGCAGAGCAATTGTCTTCATTTATGGGTGATGTGCTTTTGGTGATGTCAAAGACCTTGTCTACAATCATACAGGTAAAGTGAGTCTAAGCTGGAAATGTGGTTCAGTAATTTTATCTCTCATGGTTTAGTATTTACTTGACCTTAAGGCAGCTCCAGGTAAGTGTGCAAAGTCCACTTCTTGTCCCTTCTAAAATTATTTGAAAATACCTAAGGAACTGAACAGGGGGATACATTTCAATGCTCTTACATGGGTTCTACTTTATAGTGATCAAGTGTAAGAAGAAATATAGTAGGTGCTGTTACTTTTTTTAAATTTTGTGTACATTTCCTTTTGAAAGTCCTTAAGCATATTTCTTTGTCATGTAAGATATGACTGTATAGATATTGAAAATGTCAGTATTTGGATTCAGTTTTCTGTATCAGATATTAATAACCCTTGAATATTTAACCAAATAGCTCAATTTATGATAACTTGTAATATGACTTGAAAACACACAAGAGGTCAAAGTCCAACATTTTTCTAACTTTCAAAAGTTGGGAATATTTATTTAAGTGTACATATTTGGTTTCTCTTAGAAGAAAAAGAGAGAGAGAGAGAGAGAGAGAGAGAGAGAGACAGAGACAGAGACAGAGACAGAGAGACAGAGAGAGACAGAGAGACAGAGAGAGACAGAGAGAGAGAAAGTTCTGAAAAGACTAGGAATCTAGCATTCCAGTGACTAATGGGTCATGCCAGTCCCACTTAACCACAGTCCTTATTACATTTGTATTTCATCATCCATCTTGCTCAGGAAGCCATACTTTCTTGTGAACAATTCTGCTTGTGAATGACTGTAGGCACTAAAAATCCTGGGTGGGGGGGTCTGTGTAGCTTAGCAGCTATATAGGTTTGGAGAGCTCACTATGGTTTTCATCCTCAATTATTCCCACTTCATTCTTTAGTAACATAAGGAAAACTGTGGCCTAGCAAATGTTAGTTATACCATCTGTTGTCCCTTGGTGTCCAAAGTTAAAGACACTTTGTATAATAAACTATAGATGTTTTAATACAAATAGTGTAGATATTATATAATCCCATATTAACAATATACAAGACAAGGGCCATTCATCATGGAAAGATCAATGATAAAAATGTCTACTTTCACAATAATACTAATAAAAGTTTTATTTCATTAGTTGCTAAAAGTTACTGTATTTTGTACCTGAAATGTGTTCCTTTGAGACACCTGCACTGCTGGTCGTATGTTTTGATCCTTCAAAGATGGTGACAAACTGCCAAGACAAATTGGCATACTTAGTCTTTAGATAGCAAAGATTACATATGCCAAGAAACACCTAAATACATATAAAACATAAAATTTCACCCAAGTGAAATCTTTTTTCTTCTGCTTCAAATAAGCCCCCTCTGAGCCTCAGACAGGTTAACTTTGCAAGTTATAGTTCTAAGGATTTGTGTATGTGATGGGTGATGACCTTGGCTATAACCACATGATGACCAAAGGCTGAGATCTGTTGAATCTTGGAAAAGGTCAGTGGTTTGCCCACCTCTCCCTTTGCATTCATTGACATACATTGCAAACACGTCTGAGAAAAGAAATCATGATAAGGGAGAAGCCAGAATGCTTTGCAGTTCTCAATTTTCTCTATGGAAACTTTAATTGCTAAATTTCTCTATGGAAAGTTTAGCAATTACAGGTTCTGAAACAACAGTCACTTCTTGTTTTGGTATTTCTAGGAACACACCAGATACTAGTTTTAATATGGAGACCTGTGCCATTTCTCTGAATTAAGAGGAGTAACTGATTCTAAAAGACAAAATTCAGTCACTATCAAGACTCAAGTTCTCAAAATCTTTTGTTTATATAACTTCAAGTACTCAAGAGAAACTTCAAACAGACAGTACTGCCTTTCCTATGTCTCTCTATAATTTACCTTAGCTTTTGAGTCAACAAACCCTGCCCATTTAATCATCTGGTTAAAATGTCCTAGGGCTCTAATCTCTTATGTGATATATTTCACACTCCTTAGGATTGCATCCACCTCCATTGTTCCATGACACTAAACAAAGAATAGAAACAAAACAGGTCCACCTCATAGTATTCATTGGCTTGGAAGTTTTACATTCTCTGCTAAGAAAGAATATGTTTCCTTCCAAATTTTAGGTGGCTGACACTTGTAAAGATGCAGGAAAAACAACCCATTGTCTACCACTCATGGGTTAAATATCAAGGCCTTCTAAGCAAACTTTATTCTATCTTTTCTTTCTATGAAATTTCAAAGATGTTCCTGCAAATAGTGAAAGAAAATTTAAGAAATGGTACTGACTGCTCTTTGAGATTTGATTTCCCAGTCTAAATTTCTACAGCTTATTTCACATCCTCAGTATTGTCTACAGTTTTCAGTTATAATCAACTAGAGGATACACATATGTGAAAGGTAGTTGTGCAACTCTATTTAGAAATGCACTGAGTAACAATGTTGACAATAGTTTGAGCATGGAAAAGGTAACAAACAAGGAAAATACAACAGGAGAAGGGAGTAGACTATCTAGGAATTTAGCATCATCCAAAGAATGTTAATGACTCCCAGACTAGAACTTCAGGGTGTCTCTTCCATTGACATATGATTTTATTTTCTTTGAGGTATGAGTTCATTGAGATTGGAGATTATTAAATAGATGCTAGCATTTATAAATAAAGATGGAATTGAGTGTAGAAGTAATTGGTTTCTTTGGAAAATTGACAAAAATATATTATAGTGTGATAAAGGGTGTTATAAATTGGATCTGGAAATGGTAGTATATTCTACTACTGGAAAGTTGTTGAGTTGCTGGTAAATTTGTAATTCTGTATCTGTGGATTTGGGGGATATTATGAAACTGGATTAGAGTAAGCCAAGAAGACACCATGAAAAAGAATGAGACAAATAAAAGATGCAGCAGGATCTACTAAAAGGTTGAGCAAGAGGAACTTTCCTCAGTACACACTATGTAGAAGTGAGCTGGATGTGAAGAAGTTTGTACGAACATGGAAATATGGGTGAAACCAGGCGTCCATAGCCCTCGTGATTCATCTTTGAAGTTATCCTATGTGTCCTGTCTCATCTACCACATCATAACTGGGCCCTTAGCCTGAGGAAGAATTAAGTAACCCACCCCTTTAGACTTTTCTTCAGAACCAGAACAAGCTATTAATGTAATTGTTAGGTATTGAGAATTAGTGGCTTATTTTGATCATCCAAACGATGAATTCTTATTAGAATACAAGTTTAAGAAGCATTCATAAGGGGACTTTTCAGGTATTAAGGATAGGTCTCATTCAGATGCAGAGATCTGAGTATGACTTGATTGATTGTGAATAGGTCAATTTTTCCTGATTTTCCTCAATAATTCTGGCAATTCAGATTCTGACTGAATTTGAAAATTCTTTACAGCCAAACTCCAGTGTACAGAAGTTAGAGGATATTGAAAATATTTACCTGAACACTGCTTGAGTTCCCTGCTTGTGGTTCCTGAGAACATCCTGTGAAAAGTCGAGAAAAGATATTTTTTCTCACATACACACATTCGTAAACACACACACATACATATATTTGTTAATACAAATGCAATGTTTTCACTTCAAATAAATTAATTTGCAGAGTTATTATTATTTTAACGGATTGACAGTTGTAATAAACTTGAAACAAATAAGAGCCCTAGAAAGTTGTAAGTCAATTTTGCATCCACTTGGAAATTAGGAAAGATGAGTATGATCTTATAAAAGAGAGATTACTTAAATTACTTAAGGGCCTTTTCAACTTTAACTTACTTTATATTTATCTAGTTACAAAAATGTGACTCAGACATTGTGGCACACACTTTTAATCTCAACAAAAGCAGTCTGATTTCTGTGAGTTCATGGACAGTTTGGTCTCCACAACAAGTTCCAGTCCAGCCAGAACTACATATTAAGACTCAGTCTCAAAAACAAAACACATAGCAGAAATAAGTAAGAAAGCAATGATGGTTTAAAACAGGGCATCTTTGAGTTAATACTCAAAGAAAATCTAGTGGGATCACTTCAGATCGAAAAACTGCATGAGGTTTCAAGGGAAGTCAATGTCTCATTGAAACACAAGGAAGCAAAAATAACTTTACAAGTTTTTCAGAGACCCATTTTCAGTGGGGAACTAATCTGCCAGCAGAGGAGGTCTGTCAAGTCTTACCTTCATGGCTTAGAACTGGGTACAAATTCAATGTTACTTTTTTAACTGTGCTTCTTCAAAAGTAAAATGAGAATGAGACTATCTATTCTTACTGTGTTATAAGAAGACATGAGGAAATACAGCACACTCAAGTACTATGTACTCTAAACATATGATGTCATCAAAAGCCATCAGAAGTGAATATTAGAAATTATCTTTTGGGAGCAATAAAGATTACAGAAAAAAGAGTAAGGGCCACACTTCAAGTCAGTAGGAATGATTGAGATATCTGGTAAAATTAAGAACTTCATGATAATTATATTCCTAAAGGATCTGATTCTACTTCATATTTCACATGACTAAACTGACTTTTTCTTTGAAATGGTGTAATATGAGGGCCCAAACTGTAAACGTCAGTTTTTTTTTTTTTTTTTTTTTTTTTTTTTTTTTTTTTTTCTCCAGGGGGAGGGAAGGCGGGGGAGAACAGGGAGTAGGCTTTGGGCTTCCAGGACTGTTTAGAAAACTATTTTGATTAAGAGGTATATAAGAGTTCCAGTTATTTAAGTGGCTCAGCTACTCACACTTACTTGAAATTTTGTTTTATATTGCATGAAACTAGGAATAAGTATGTTCAGCCAGACCTCCATTGAAATGTGTACTGAAATATCAAATGGCTCACATGTTGTCTCCAGCTTAAATGTCTAATGGATACCTTAATCTCATAACCCAAACTGTTTTCACCAGCTTCTTTGCCCCTCTCTTAGCTTCTTCCATATGCTGTATCACTCAATGTTTTTAACCACTATATGCCGATGTTGTGTTTTAGGCTTCAGTGGACACCAATTCACCAAGCTTGCATTCGATAAAAAACAGTCAAGCTCAGATAATTAAAATACATGATCTTTAAGACAACTTCGGGAAAGAAAAAGGAAGCAATGATGTGGCCTACTTAAGATCACAGAAGGCAATTCATTTCACTTTTCAGTGTCTGTGATCACAAGAGTTCTCTTTGGGAAAGTGAGGGGGGAAAATGTCTACTGGTGAGAGAAGAATAAGGTAAACTAAGGGGAAAGAAAACTCCAAAAGTCTTGCCAAGTGAAAGGCTTGGATTTAAGGATGGAGTAGAGGAAGCCACAAGGAAAACCTAGGAAGAGTTAAGAAACGCAATTGAGGTAGTTTAAGTTAATGATGGAAGGTCTTGTAACCATTGTAATATCTTGAAATTTAGTCATTAGTAAAACTGGAAGGGACTTAACAGCCTCTGGATTTGTCTTATATTCTGATCATTGGACTCTTCAACTCAAGTTAACATGTAAATTCCATAAGAAAAAAACTTTGTCTGTATTGATTACACAAGGAATATTATAACAACAACAAAAAAAACTGGTTGGTGAATCTTTAGATGAATCAATGAATAAATGACTTGGTCAGTGACAATATCACTAAAAAATATAAGAAATATGCAAACATCAAACTGAGACAAAACAAAATAGTACACAAAAGTTGACCACAAGGAATGAGGCTCAGTGTGAACTCTTAGACAAAGAACTGGACATCTTGGACACTAATGACTTCACTTCCTGCTTGTCTGTCTTCAGTAATGAAATAAAAAAATTGCACTAAGTAGTTCCTAGCTGGATCTTGTAACTCACAATTTAGAACTCAGGAATCTTACTGATGGTTACCATTATGCATACAGATTAGAATTTATTGATGGTGTTCAGATAGAACTGTTGCTAACAACAGTGAAAATGATGTCTACACCCCAGTTGAGAGGTTTGCTTGAGTGGGTTGCAGAGAAATACTCAGGAAAAACTTGTGGCTTGAAATTCAAGGACATGTTGTAGTAAAAAAAGACTGAGATACCTCTTCTATATATTGTTTTTCATTTATTCAGATTTACCCCCTGAGAGCTGAAAAATATTGGACTAAAGCATCCAAAAAATGTGGTAAACTGATATTCATATAAGCTGATATTTAAAAAACAAAACTAAACAATTCATGCTAGCCAGATTTTATTGTGAACAACTCTATTTAGTCTTTAAAAGGGCTTTTGCATCTTAGTGGAGGTAAGTATGCTCTGATACAAGCAAAGCATACATTTTCAATGAGTTAATTAAATCCAGTTCTAGTCCAGGTATAAATTAGCATGACAATTATAATAAATTATAATATCAGACTAAATTCATATAAAAGAAAGCATTTGGCTTATTTTAACAGCTGGGTGAAATGCTAATGAGTCACCTCCTAAGAGTAGATATACTTAATGGAAAAATAAACTAGTATCACTCTCAAGTTAATGACTAGCATTTTCCAAGTAGGAAATAATTAAGTTATCAAAATAGTCAACAAAGTTACTTTTTCATCAGTTTCTAAAAGTTAAGAAAAATATCCAACCTTCCAATGCTTTAGCCTTTAGATCTGGTTTAAACTCTTCTGCTTCACTAAAATAAAAGAAAAAACAATTTTAGTATATTTAACAAATGAAGAAGCTGCTTGTTAACAGCAAGCTGCCATTTTCCACATGGAAGCAAACAGAATGGCATGCTTCTAAAATTCAAGATTGATTGAGAATGATTTACAAATTGATTTTCCCCACTTCTAAATTTACTGTTAATAAACATAAAATTTACAACCATAATGTGCCAGTAATCACATTGACATTACTGCACAAAGACCACTATCTCCCACCTCTAGACATGTTTGCGCTTAAACACTAACACCCATTCTCCTTTAGAAAATCATTATTTTATTTTGTATCTTTGGGATTTTTGAATAATCCAGATAAGTAGAGTCATAACTGTATTTGTCATTTTGTGACTTATTCTAATTTGTTCAATGTCATCCATATTTATGTGTAGGATTCTGTGAGGATTTTCTTTAAATTGTAGATAATATTCAAAAGAATAAGACACATTTTCTCATGAATTCAACCACTGATGAAAAATGAAAGGTTGCCTTTCTCTTTTGTCTATTGTGAATCACGCTTGTCTTGGTACAGCCTCACTAATATCACTAATATCTGTTGCAGTAACTGTTTTCAGTTGCTGGGTCACATGCTAATTCTTTAGGAAAGCTCCACACTGCTTTTCATAATGACTTCACAATTTCATAATCTTACTATCGGTGCATAAAGGTTTCAGTTTCTCTCCATCCTTAATACTTATTTTCTTTTCTCTCTCTTGCTTCCTTTTCTCCCCCCTTTTCTTTCAGGGACTGTCATGGTTTCAAAATGGCATCTTTTGTGATTTTGATTTACATTTCCTTAGTGATTAGTGATGTGGGGCACCTGTCATGTACTTTTGTACATCTTTTTAGAGGATTTTTCTATTCAAATAATTTGAATTTTAAATTGTTTTTGTTGTTTTACTTTAAGGTATGGGGAGTGGTTTAGATATTTACCTTGTATATAGGTAAATATGTGAATAATTTGCAAATATCTTCCATTCCTTGTACTGAATTCATATTGACCACATTGTCACACAAATAATACTTCTTATTCTATTTAATGATTTATACTCTAACTTTTGTGTTTTTATATTAATTTAGCTAGTTTGTGCTTTTAAAATTTATATTTGAGCACTGGAGCTTAACGTTTTTCCATGTTTTCTTTGTATTCTTTTTGTGAGGCAGAACTATATACCGTTAGCTTACTTAACAAAGCTGAGCAGGAATCTTTCTGTGCTGACAGCACACTTTCTGCTGCTGACTCTATGGCTATCCTTTGGGTTATAATAGCAACCACAAGCGAGAGTAGCACCCTATCACATTATCAAATATCTGATCTACAACATTTATACATTAGAAAGCAGATGTCCAAAAGATATGTAGAGACTAGGTAACGAGAAAAACAGCACTATAATAAGAGAAAACTTAAGACTTAGGGTGTGGAGTCAAGGAATGAGAATCCGAAGTGAGGAGGACTTGATGCTACACTCGTGTTCAACTACAGGTTTACGAACACACCCATTCGTTCATCTCAGATTACCAGATTTGTTCTGCATTAAGTTTTATGTACCCAGAAATGAGGTCTTCTTGGTTGTATGATGAAGTACTCATAATTCTGTGTATGAGGTAATGTGTTGGTTCGATAGCAAGATTTTCTTCTTTCTGCAAAATTATAGATCAGGTATTACACACAAGGAACTTGACTTTCTCCTCCATTGCCATTTTTGTATTCCAATCAATATTTTAAGGAAAAGATAGTTTTATAGATTACTTAAAAATATTTTTAAAGTAGTAAAAATAGAGATGTCTCTTTCATTCTAATTAAAATGTCTCTTTTAGTACTTTTTTTGAAATGGCTCTGTGGAGATATTCTAAATTATGATACTAGATTTTGAACATTTTAAACATAAACCTAGTTCAGATACTGAAGAATATAACATTCTATTTTTAAACTTTAAAACCTTTTAATTACACTCTAGTACATTAAATAGAAGAGCGGAAATACAACTCTAAACATCTTAAGAGCTTGTCTGATAAGACATTTTAACATACTCTGATATATTTGTTGCAAAATCCTGTGCTTCTGATTTGACTGAAACTAGATGTTTATTTTCTGTGGTTTACTGCATCTTTTGTGTTAGCATAAACATAACAGTACAAAATCCATGTGAGGACATTTAATTCAGGCAATTGTCTCACTAGGAAATCTCATATTATATGACTTCCAAAAATGTGGTTAGTTCTGACTTTTGGACAGGGTAAAACCCCAAGGACCATTGAGTACCACATCATGATTAAGAAGTTTAATGTGTGAATATATCTGTGATATTCAAAATACTGTGTATAACTTGTTACATTTAAGAAAGTTGTCAAAACCTATGTAAGAAAAACATTCACTATGTATTTCATGAAGGTAGCATGTCTATTAAGTTAAAGTCTGGTTTCAGACACATTGCAGGATACTTGATTAAACTGTGAACTCTGAGATTACATTATTTATTGGAAAAACCTGTTTCTAATTATGGTGTAGTTCAGACCTAGCACATACTTTTAACCCAAGATCATTCTGCTTGAATATTGTAAACAAAGTTAAATAAATTAACCATAGGTCAAGAGGCAAAGCAAACAGCCAGTTGACAAGGATAGGATAAACCATAGAGAATAAGAGGGAGTCAGGTGATAGATAGAGAGATGCACAGGAAGTAGAAGGGAAAAACATTGAGTTTGAGGTTTTCTGTTTGTGATGGTGTAGAAGACAAGTCTTTTTCTGGGATGTCAGTGGAGGAAGGTCACCGGGTGCTTTCTCTGCCTCTCTGATCTAGTAGGCTTTCACCTCACCATCTGGCTCTTGAGACTTTATTGGTAAATTGAACATTTGAAATTTAGTTAAAATTTGGTGAACAATGTGGGGGATGACCAGAGACAGAGAAATCATGCCAGCTGTGAACAAACTGAAAAGACATCAGATTTGGTAAGACACCCGGAAGTCCTCAAGGAGAGAATTAATATTAAAAGGAAAAATCTTTCCCAGGTTAAGGATGGGAAATATCATAATATGGAGCATTAGGACCTGCATTTTAGATGGCTTGAAAACAGAAGAGAAAATGAAAAGATAAATGACTTAACTGTGATCGGCATATTAACAGTTATAATTACTGTCAGTTTGGTAATTCATAATTTATCCAGAATAGCCACAATTTTTTTGTGCCAAATAGGAAAAGGGGGTTGATAACATACAAGCCTTAGAAAGACTTATCAATGATAATGAGAAAAATACTCAAACACAGAAAGAGCAATATAGAAAAGAACGTACTGTACCACTACATGATGAAATTAAAGAGCACAACCCAAGTGTTGTAGAATATTATTTTAAGATGTTACATTATTTATGCTGTAGAGGGTATTTGTTTAATGATGCAAGATGTGTTGCATTCCTTTATGTTCATTTGTTTAACTGTGAAGCTGTGTTATTTTGCCTGCCTAAAACACCTGATTGGTCTAATAAAGAGCTGAATAGCCAGTAGCAAGGTAGGAGGAAGTATAGGCAGGACTGGCAGGCAGAGGGACTACATATAGTAGAACATAAGAAGAACATAAAAGGGGGATCAAGCAATGAGAAAATGACAAGAGGAGCACTCCAGGGGCCAACTACCCAGCTACACAGCTAGCCATGGAGTAAGAGTAAGATCATAGAAGTAAAAGCAAGAGAAAAGCCCAGAGACAAAAGATAAGTGGGATGATTTAAATTAAGAAAAGTCTGCTAGAAACAATCCAAGAAAAGGCCAGATATTTATAATTAGGAATACGCCTCTGAATGTAATTTATTTGGGAGCTGGATGGTGGGCCCCCCAAAATCAAGGAGCCAAAAGAGCAAAAAACAACCAGCAACAGCCAAGGTTGTTAGTAAACCAAACTTAGTTTAACCAGTTACTATATAAGAACCTCCAGTAGATGATAGTCATACATAGATAATCAAGTTTAGTGGAATCCTATAGAAATATTAGATTTGAGATTTAAGAAGTGGTCATTTCATATGTTATGCATTTACCCTATGTGAAACAGATATTAAATTCATGGACAATGCAGAAAAGAATTATTTCTCAAGACTGGAAACATTTGGCATTCAGAATATTGGAAGTTGGTCCTTAGTTACAATGGTGAACATGGTGGAAACAGGAAGTTAGGGCCATAGAACAACAAAAAGGGCTGGGGGTACTAATATTTCCCAAGATCTGTTCCTAGGTGAAGGTCAATATGCTGAGTGGCAAAGGCAGCATATTTTATTTGGTGACCACACCTTGGTACTATGTTGTTTAGCAGCTTTAAATGCTTGGTACAAGGTTGAGTCCTTTAGTAAAATTATACAAGGCCCAAAAGAAGCCTTCACTGATTTTTCTTTGAAAAGATTGACTTCAGCTATAAATAGAATAGTATCAAATTCAGAAGTCAGATAAGTATTAATTGAATTTTCGGCTTTTGAAAATTATGAGTCAGAATGCAAAAATGATGATTAGGACTTTAAAGGCAATATCAGCACCAATAGATGAATGGATTAGAAATATGAGTGATATTGGATCTCATATTTATGTTTTTCTGATAGGAGAAATGACAGATGTTTTGACTGTGGTAAGCAAGGTCATTTGAAAAGGGATTGTAGACAAGGCATTCCTAGAAACAACCTTTTTTCTAGAGATAATCCAAATAGAAGGCCCCATCCTTCTAGAATATACTGAAGGTGTGGGAAATGCTGTCATTGAACCAATAAATTCAGATCAATAAGGGACAAGCAAGGCAACCCCTTTCAATCAGGAAATTCCCTAAGGGGACTCCCCCAGAACCCTATATCAAATTTGATTCAATAATTCCCTGTCAGCATTGGAGAAACTCATCCACAGGGCAATTAAAAGATTTAATGCCTTTTTTGTTGTTTGTTTTAAACAGTGCTCTGGATGTAATCAAGGATAGAACAGCTTCAGCAGATAAAACAAAAAATTCAGGATAGAGCAGAAGACAAGTATTTTGGCAAAGTGCTATAAGTGATCAGAAACTAAAACTAAAATTAAATGACCTTGAAATTAAAGCTTTCCTAGTCACAGATCAGATGTAACAATAATTTCCTCCAAATCTTGGTATCCTGACTGGCCTCTTCAGGAGGTAACTATTCAGCTTCTAGGAATTGGAAATTTATAGCAAGTAAAACAAAGTTCAAGATGCATCAAGTGTATAGACCCAGAAAGTCAAATAGGAAAATTAAAGCCTTATGTGGCTATTATTGCTATGAATTTATGGGGAAGTCATTTGTAGCAGCAATGGAAAACACAGATTAATATTTCTCCAAACTAATACAAAATCTATAAAATAAAAGATGGTTCTGAGAAAAAAATGTTAAAAGCTATTATCAAGAAGAGTCACAGATCATTCAGGTTGTACATAATATGTGTTTCTAATTTGGTTCAAGGTATTTTACCTATTTAACTCATTTCTCAATGTAATGCAAACTTCTAGTTGTTGAAATTTATTGTTACAAAATGTATAAATATATATATATATATATATATATATATATATATATATATATATATTATATACATACAGAATATGGCAATATGGAAATGTAGGTTAGTAATTAGTCACCTATTACAATTGAACTTGTAATCACATTAGGTGTGTTTCAAACGCAGAGATATTTTGACATGTTATCTTCAAACATGTCAGAGATCTACAGAATATGTCAATTAAAATGTTTTAATAACAGATTTTTTAATGACAATGATACATGTCTGCTCCTGGCAGCACCAATCTACTTCAGAGAAGATGATGGGCATTGAAGGAACTAGAGTCGATGATGGTCATAGAAGAATCTCCACACGGAGTTTTACTTTCTTTGTGGCAAAGGCAAGCCACTGGGCAAGAAAGTGCCCTTACCTCAATGGCTGACAGTATGCTGTCAAAATTGGACAGTATACCAAAAAGAGTGACTCCAAGACAAGACAGGGCAGTCAATAAGAATATCCTGCTTCACAGAAATGTTTGTCAGATTTGAAAGGCTTCTAGGCTGAAGATGGATGCCCCAAAGTTGCAGAGGAACCTTGGGTAACTGCCAGGCAGCTGGCAGTATCATTTCTCCCCGGGGTAGGGGGGTGGGGGCAGACTTGCTAGGTCACACTTCCTGTTTACTCAGTTAATATTATTTTCTTCTTGGGTCTCTGAGGGAGCTGAAGACTAGATAGTATAGGGACAGTTTTCATTGTTTACCAGACTCAAAAAAGAAACTCACTAAAGACATGTAAAGTGGCTTACTTCCACCTCCATCCTCGATGACATCTCCTGAGCCCTACACCTGCCCAAGGTCCCCATCCCCCAAGGATCTCTCTGGGCCTGCAGCTGCAGAGAGCAAACCCAGCAGCACAGAGTGGACCTGCCCAGACAGGAAGGACCTCCTTGAGACTGGAAATACCTCACTCTCACTTCCCCCTTTGCCTCCCCAAACTCTCCTGAGTGAGGAGACTAGCAGGAGAGGCCAGACCATCCATATCTGCAGACATTGAAGTCTTGGCCCACACACACCACCGGGTGATAAGAGGAGATAGAAAGACCCCACCTGCACCCACTGGAAGAAGAGATTAGAAGAAGGCAGAATAAGAGCACACTCAACAGAAAGA